GAACTGGGTGGGTTAGGAGCTGACCGAGGGAAGGGGGAGGGGTATAGTGATGAAGGGAGGAGAGGAGGTGAAAAATCGACCCTCCCCCCTCCCTTCCCCAGGAGACCGCCTTGATCCGCCTGTGGGCCAGAAGTGGTCTCATTCTGTATCACTTCGAATTCCTGGTGTAAAGGGGGTTGATTTAAGTTGTAATGAGTAATGGGCAAAGAAAGCCGCTGGAAATTAAGTGCTGTTTTTGTTCCTTGAATTTTTTACGATTTTGCAGCCGATGACGAAGCATCGGGGGGCGACGCTCTGGCCGGCGGCGATTGTGCAGAAGAAAAAGGAGCACTGTGGCCAGGACAAGCATTTTCGCTGGAAGTTGATCAAGTCCTGTTTCACGAAAGAAGCAAATATCAGGATGTTCTTGTCTTCAAAAGGTTTTTTTATGAATGTCCTCAAACATTTTTTGACAGTGAGTTGATAGATTATTTCCGGCAAAAATGCTCCTTTTTGATGGAAGTTTTGTCAATTTTTCCGATTTATCGGCTCAAGCTTGAGGCCAGTTATTTTTGACTGAAAAGACTTTTATAACACAAGGAAATGTTGCCTATTTTTAGTAAAACTTGGTTATTTTCAGTAAAATCTTATTTTCACTTTTTTTTATTTTTTGTGACTTATTTTTGATTTATCGTGGCTTATTATTTTTCAATGCTGCTTATTTTCAGTAAAACCTACGGTAATGTGCTGGTTCTTGATGGAGTGATACAGTGCACGGAACGCGATGAGTTTGCTTATCAGGAAATGCTGACTCATTTGGCAATGTTCAATCATCCGATGCCACAGGACGTATCACTTTTTTTATTGGTTAAAGCAATACCAGGACCAGTTATTTCCATAGGCGGATTTATGGAGAGGGGGGGGGGGCGTAGTGGGTCTTTCTCCCCCACCTCCCGCAGTGATACAAGCACCAGTGCTGCAAAAGCCCGGATCTAAAACTAAAACTAAAGTGAACTGAAGCTTAAAATAACTCTAAGTAGCAGTGTTACAACTCTCTTCCTAGTTTTCGCATAGTTCCAGGGTTAGGAGGGGATTCTCCTCTCCACCCTCCGTGGCCTCCCTCCCTCCCCCTCCCCCTCGTCTGAGATTCTGTCCTGACTCCGCCCTATGATTATGTTATATAGTTTGGTTTACCAGCTATGCAGTTGGCAACTTTTCCAGTTGCTTTGTCCAGTGCTGCTTCGCCTGTTAGTCACCATATTGGTGGTCCTGACATTATTTGGCCTCCTGAAACGGGTATCAGCTCAGTGGTTCTTTTGACGCAAGCGGTAATGTATTAGACGTTTCGAAATGTTCTTAATATGTGCTGAATACTGTTTCAGCCGGAATAATGCTATCCTTATATGACGATGTCTTACCAAATATCTTGTAGACTGTCAAATCACTGTATAAGCATTCAAATCATTTCATTTCTAAGGCAGATCATTTAGAAACGGAGGATATGGGCAGTTTTTAGTGGTAGTTGTAGACTTTTAGCCCATTCTTTTACTCTGTTTATGAAGAAGCGAAAGTCTAAGTCTCACTCTTACCTCCTTCTCTCATATCGTAATCTATCGCGCTTTCGCTATTTAGACCTCCCGGATCAGTCCGATTGCTACAGTCTGCTTATCAGTAGAATGCAATTCGAATTTTCCGGCTTTTGCTTTTTTATAGGTGCTCGTTGTTGGTGGTGGTGATGGTGGCGTGTTACGGGAAGTGCTCAAACATCCGTCTGTGCGAACCGTAACACAGTGTGAAATCGACGAAATGGTAATTGATGTGTCCAGGAAATTTCTGCCACAAATGTCTGAAGCATTCACCAGTCCAAAGTTGAATCTTGTTATCGGCGATGGATATGATTTTTTGAAGGTATTTTTTTCATCTTTCAATTTTTCGATTTTTTTTTTTTTGTTTGCCAACAGGCAGTTGTTTTTCTATTGTTGGACAACTTTCGGAGAAGTTGCTGCGACTGGCACCCTTTCTGTGATTGCTCTGACCAAAACTGCTTCGTTTGCCTGGTACTGTTTGTCCTCAGTTTATGTTTTGAAAATAAATTTGTGGATACATGAAACCTCTACTGCTACATTTGTAATTCGTCATTTCCATGCACTCGGGCCTCTACACTCAAAATAATCACTCATTTTCGCATGGTTCTCATGTACGGGCATGTGAAAAAAAATTTTTTTTTTTT